GGAGTGGAGGAACGCCACGGTGTAGAGCATGGGCTTCCACATGGGCAAATTGCTGATGTCCAGAAGGTCCTGATTGATGCCCGCAAAGGTCCTCTTCAAGCCCGCGCGGACCCCTTGCGGAGGCTCGTTGGTGAACTTGAGGGAGCTCTGGGGGGAAAGCACACCGTCGCTTAGTCTCTGCAGACTACGGTCAAGAGGGAAGAGGCATGAAATGCCTCACATGGCCACCCGGCGCGGGAGCACCTGGACCGCCCCCCACCCCTGACGCCTTCGTGCATGCGCAGGAAGTCTGCCCAAGCAGGCTTTCCAGGGGAGCTTGCCGGCGACAGGGCAAAGGGGCAATGATCATGGAAGAGTTCGGACTCTATCAGCCCCCCAGCCCCCTCTGCTATCCTCTTTCAGGAATGGCCCTGGTACCCCTTGCTTCGCACCCCCTGCGAGTGGGAGGGGACTGATCTCAGCAAACCTGGAGCAACGTAATTGGAAATCGGTCGTGCGGCTCGGTGGTGATCCACACGCGGAAAGACTCGTCGATGACTTCGGAGATAATTAGCGTCTCCAGCAATTCTTCCATGAATTCCAAGCCGAGGTGACAGTTTTGCAGTAAGACCCAACCACCCTGTAGCCAAAAAAATGATGTCACTTTTATTTCTCACGTTTTTATGTATTTTTTTTTTTTTACTATCGTTTTAACAAAAATTTAAAAAGCTTTTATCCCCCCCTTTTAAATGTTGGTTAGGGCTTGCAAATAGTATATTTGAAGCACATCATTAAAAAAAAAAGAACGTGTCAATATAATCATTCTTTCTGCAACTAGTCCAAGCTGCTTCCCTGGGAACCAAATGGATTCAAAACGAGTGTCTTCTGCCATCCCTGGTTCAGAAGGGAACAGCAAGGAAACCTGCAGCCAGACTTGTGTCGGTGCCGTGTGTCCGCCATCTAATGGTGGGAGTGAGTATTTTGGAGTTTGTCCCTGCGTGGTGCTGGCTACGTTGCAAGGAGTAAGGAGCTGCTAACTGCAAAGCGAGCAGTTTGAAACCACCAGCCGCCCCCCGAGAGAAACAGGAGACTTTCTACCCCTGTGAAGAGTTAGCCTTGGGAACCCACGGGGGCAGGTCTACTCTTGCTGTGAGTCGGAATCGGCTTCATGGCAGTTGAGAGTTGAGTTCAGAAAGGCTCTGCAGGATAAAGATGAGGCTTTCTGCTGCCCCCGTCAAGCCTCCGAAACCCACGGGGACAGTTCCACTCTGTCCTACAAGGTTGCTGTGCGTAAGAACTGACCCTGTGGCAGCGAGTTGGTTTGTTTTGTTAGCTGGTATATTGTGCTGCCATAAACCTCAAACCAAACCACTACTTAGTCCGAGACCACACATTGGACCCTGTTAGCACACACAGAGAAATGTATGTTTCCGAGGCTGCAAATCTCTGTGGAACAAGACAGCCTCGTTTTTCTGCTGTGGAGTGGCTCGTGGGCCCGAACCACCAGCCTTTCAGTTAACAGCCCAAATGCCCAACCCACAGCACCACTAGAGCTCCTCATTGAATAGGTAAATCAGAACTGATCCACCACAAGTCCAAGGAAGATGGGCATTAGCTCATGAAAGCTGAGAACTACAAAGTCAGTGATATTTGCAACCGTGAGGCTGACTTTGACTCTTTGCCATCATTCTTTCCATATATTCCTGAAACCATGGAACTTGGAAAGGATGATCTAAATGCTTGATAAATCAACTTTAACAATGTGAGAGTATAATTTCTTAACCATGTACCAATGATGAGCCAGAATTGACTCATGAATTGTGTTTTGTGTTGTTTTCTAAAACAAACTTGTGCCCAACCAAATGCATTTCAGCGGAGTCTCTTCCAACTCATAGGAAACTTCTTGGACAGAGTAGAACTGCCCCATAAGGTTTCCAAGGTTGGAAAGGTTTATGAAAGCAAATGGCCACATGTTTCTCACATGGAGTGGCTGGTGGGTTTGAGCCGTCCACCTCTGGGTTATCAGCTGACCACTTTAGACACTGCACCATCAGAGCTCCTTATAACACTTGGTCAGATACAAGACGCTGAATGCAACAAATCATGTTAATGCCCATGTGGCATGCCTTCAAAGATGTAGATAGTGAATTTGAACTGCTGACCTTGCAGTTAGTAGCCCAATGCTTAGCCCACTATCCCACCGGGGATCCTTCTGTGTCTTTATAGACACCGTTTTGTTCTGAGAGCCTGTTTGGATGTTCTGGCAGGGGAGTCAGCTACTCGGATTCGTATACCCTTGACCGAAGGGCGGTCCTGCTTCTATGGGGTAAGGTCGTCCTCTTCAACTGAGCTTGCCGCTTTGGGAGGGATGCACATGGAGTAGTGAGGGAGGAAGGAGACATTGGCCTAGCCAGCCAGATCAGCCGAATGGACCCTGGTGATCAATGGGGTGACAGACGTCACCGCCAGATCACCCGCACCTCCAGTTTTGTTTTGTGGTGTGCTCAGTCTCTCCATCTTCAGGCCAGAAGCAATGGAATCACTTTCTCAGCTTCATCCTAATTCTGACGTCCATCAAGGTAGTCACACGGCTGTTCATGGTGTGTGTGTGTGCATGGCTGTGCAGGTGGCTCTTTTCCCCAGAAAGATGCCATTCTTATTTTTTTAATCATTTTATTGGGGGCTCATACAACTCTTATCACAACCCATACAAACATCAATTGTATAAAGCACAGTTGTACATTTGTTACCCTCGTCATTCTCAAAACATTTGCTCTCCTCATAAGCCCCTGGCATCAGCTCCTCATTTTCCCCCCTCCCTCATTTCCCTTTGAGAAGCAGAACTTTGATGGAAATGGTTAAAAACTAGTATCCCGAAGGTTAGTGTGAATGCAACATTTACATTTCAAAGAATTTCTCATTCACTGAAATTAAAGAAATGATTAAGTTCCAAAGTTAAACCCATCAAATCACTCAATAGAGGGAAACATTTGATCCAAATCAGAATAATTATATATGATTGCTCTGATATGCATCTATAGATAAATTAATTACGGTATTTTATTGAATTTAATTACGTGGCAAAGTTTAAGGCTTAGGACATTTGAGGATTAATGACTAGAGGGTAAATTTGATGACCCACTTGGAGCTTTTAGCCCATTAACCCTCTCTAGTCATTAATTCCCAGGGAAGAGCTATCTCAAAAGTTGCTCTGAACATTATGAGATTAAAATCCTAAAAATAAGCCAAGATCTTATTTTATGTTTATAAATGGGGCCATTTCTTATTACAGCTGAAACTGCTATCCGCAGAGCATTTCAAGGAAATTAATGTCCTGGGTATTTATATGAGGTGTGATGGAAAACATTTCTCAGCATTCCATTCAGTCTGCCGTTTGCAATAGAAAACTATCATCAATATTTGAACACAAACATCCTCAGATATCTCTCGTTTGACCTAAATGGTCCATTATTGGAAGAATGAAAGGCTGACTTTCACCCCAAAATGGAAATGTAATCGTCTCAATCTGTCATTTTTTAAGTACAATCTATTGATATTGATGTGAAACCCAAAGATTGCCAGAGCTATAAACGTGTCTATCAAACAGTTGGGGGTGGGGTGTGATGGGAGGAGTTAGTGACAATAAAATGGCGTGTATACTATGGGAAACAGAACAAGCTTGCCCTGGGGATGCCAGGAAGACACAGCTTAGACATTTCCCAGGACTTGAAAGCTGACTTTAATTATCAAACACGATTGGAAAATAATGACTGGGTATCTGAGGTAGTTAGTTTATTGTGCCAACCTGCCTGATAAACACATGTGAGGTTAATTGAAGGGCGGAGGGATAAATGGCTTGGTGAGCCTTGCCTTTCTAGTTCTCGGGTCTCTTGCTTTATATGGTCGGACCAGGGTGCAGCTGCCTTAGCCAGTTCCCTGCTTCAACTGACATGGCTCACTTCCTGCAAGACATCCCCAAAGAGAAGCTGCATGGACCTACTCCAATGCAGCCCTGGGTGCTGGAGCGGCCATGTGGAGACCCCTGCCAGTGCTGAGATGCTTACGTATTCACTGATTGGCTTTCCTCCTGCAGTCGGTGTCATAGTGTGTGTTTCGTGAGATAGAGGAGGACTTTGTGGATTGGTGTTGGAAATATGGGTTAATGTTGGACTTGTGGGATTGGGCAGCACTAGGTTGGGGTGTCTTCTTGATACGTACTTACCCTTTATATAAAACTCTCTCTTATACATATGAGTTTCTGTGGATTTGTTTCTCTAATGAACCCAGACTAATACAGTATCAAAGTGAGGATGAGCGAATGGATCTCCCCTCACTATGATGCTCCCAGGTAGACTTGTTGGATGGAGGGGCAACAGCAGCGTCGATGCCTCAGGAGCAGATGGCCCTTGTTACATACCTGCTGCATGGACATCTGAATCAGCTTCCGAGCATGTACTTCTTGCCCTTGCCCCATCGAGATAGTTCTACATTCTGTAACAAAAGAGAAGACTCGCTGTAATGAAATGTCAGCTTTGTAATAGGATAGACACACCTCCCCCAAAAGATTCATTTCTGAGTAGTTACAACATCCCTCTTCCTCCCATTACTTCTTAGCAGGGTCCGCTGTTCAAACAGACCTAGTCTCGCTGTGTTGATCAGAAAAATGAGTGGAGCAGACAACTGGGCCGGACCAAAGGCACAAGAGTGGAGTTTGAGAGAGAGATTTGGACAGTGGTGATAATGAGGACAAGATGGACAGTGGGTGAGAAAGCTACGATGCTCTCACAGCTATTTAGAAGGAAAGAGGATTTCTGAGTTTTGCTGTAGGTTTTAGTGAAGGAGTCCTGGTGCTGCTGTTGTGTACCTGTTAGAGTGATGGCTTCAAGGTTGGTGGTTCAAACCCACCAGCTGCTGTGTGGGAGAAAGATGAGGCCCCCATCTATAAATATTTACAGCTTCTGAAACCCTATATAGGGTCACTATAAATTTGGAATAGACGTCACATCAGGAGGATTTTTTTGCGGGTGGGTGGGAGGTTGGTATGTCTTGTTTAGAATCCTCCTGTGCTCTTTGAGCAGATGCGTCTGTAGAGATTAAATTTGCATTTATTCTTTTGAGATGTCAGGCTCATGGTGTTTTTGTTTTGCCTGTTCATTTACTTCGGGTTTGTTTGTACATTTGTTCACCTTTTTGAAATGCAATCAAAGATAACTCAGCGGTCTGAGGGTTACATTCAGGGGTAAACTGTCTAAGACCCACTTTTCAGCTGCTTCTCAGAGGAAACACCACCTTGGAACGGAGCACCAGGCAAATGGAGACCACTCCAGAGCGTCCTTATAGTTCAAGGGAAAAGCTGCGGCTCAGGACCCGATGGTCCAGGTGGAAGACCACACTGGGACCTTGACATATGAATCCACCCATGAACCTGCATCTGGAAATTAATTTTTAGTTAATTGATGGGCCCGGATTTTCTTGAAGACTTGTATGTTTCTTGTACTGGGAAAGAAAGTCAAAGGGCGACGTATGAGTTTTGAGCCACTCTGCTGGATGAGCAGCCGACCCAAACACAAACTTTTATCATCACTCCACTTCTGCCACCTAGTGGCCCAATAGGACAGGCTCGAAACCACCCCATAGATTTCCAAGGCTGTAATCTTTATAGAGTCCAGTAGACTGCTTCTCCCCAAGTGTAACAGCTGGATTCAAACGACTGGCCTTTTGGTTATCACTCAAGCACTTAGCCACTGTCCCACCTGGGCCCCTTTGGATGAGCTTAGAACCTCAGCAGGAGGCGCTGTGGTTAGTCAATGAGGCTGGGTTGACAATTGCTGGCAGAGAGTGTAAAGCATGGGAATGGGGAAGGGGGGAGTAAGCTATGTTAGCAACCAAAGAGAAAGTGGTTGTCAGAACATACCATTTATCTGGCGCCATGTGGTTAGTGGACAGAGGTTGTCTGGGGCTTTACTCAGGTACTCGGGGTCACAGGGAGAGACTCTGAAATGGCCCTTCTGACAGAGGATGGAGAACCAGGAATTGCAACAGGCCAAGGGTTAGTAAATGAAGTTGGATTTTCCTCGCAAAGCCCTGTGAATCAGGTACCACTGCTACAGGTACCTGGGAAGAATCCTACCCAACCTATAAAAGGGGAAGGAAGGAGAGGTAAGGGAGGGAGGGTAGGAGGAGCCCCTGGATTGTGAAAGAGACACGGAGCCTCTCTTCTTTTGGAAGCCCAGGAGATCCAAGGGGTCAAGTTTGGGTAAAAGGACAGAAAGTATTAACACCTGAATGGAGTCTAATCCAGGCAATCAAGAGAAAGTGGAATTAGAGGCATCCCTTCCAAACAGGGAGGCAGTGGCTGTTCAGAAGGCAAACCCTCGCCTTTCCTGTGGAGACAGACTTCCTTTTGATTCTGGGACAAAGCTCTGTCCATCATCCATCTGTCCGTGGGTGCAGAGGTTGTGTGTTGCCAGGCCATCGCGCAGGTTCCAGCAGAGCTTTGAGGGTGGACTAGCAAGGCCTGGAGGTCTACTCGCCCCCAAATCAGCCAGTGAAAATCCTACGATGCACGACGGTCTGATCCACAACTGGTTATGGAGATGACGTAAGACCTCTGTGATAGGGGGTCCCCTTGATTTGGGGTCAACTTAACAGCAACTACCAACAACGTCCAGGCATATCCAGACTCGGCCCACATTTTAACATCTCCCGTGTACATTTCACTGGTCAAAGGGACCATCTGGCACCTCTTGCCTCGATTCTTGCAACTGCGTCCCTAAAGTGGCCTCCCTTCCTCCTCTGTCCCTGATCACCTGTTCTTGTCAGGGAAAAGTCTAGCGAACTGGAGCCAGAGCATGCCCCTCCTCTGCTCAGAATGTTAAAGAGGTCTTTGGGAGATTTCCCCAGGGCACTGCCGGGCTTGCTTTCAGGGCTGCTGCTTTGATGGGCTTTGATCGTAGATTCGAGCAGAATAAATCCATTGACAGCTTCCACTTTCCCTCCATGGATGGTGTGGATGCAAATTCAGACTCTTTGCCAAAGACCATCACATCCCAGACAGAGCAGTGCCTTTCAAAAGCTGGGAAATTCCAAATACTGTGACACATCTGGCTCCAAGGGTTTTTGACTCCGGGATACTCATGTTATCTATGTGGAAGATGGCACGTGTGTATTATACATAGGTATCCACAAGAAGGCTGCAAAAAGTTCATGGGAACATTATCTTTTCTTTTCTTGTCATTTCCCTTTGCCACAGATCACTTGAAGTCTTTTAATATTATATAGCTATGTTGTATATTCTGTACACACACATGTACAATACACATCTGCATCGCTATGCTACTCTATGTCTCTAGTTTCTAATCCTGAAGGTCATGGACATTTTACTGCCATTAATGAGTATTTGAAAACATCGTTTTTAATGGTTTCATGGTGTCCCATCATGCTAATGCGTCCTTGTTCATTTGGCCACTACCCTTTGGTACATTTGTTTCCCATGCTATAAATAACATTAGATTAAACATCACTGCATTTAAATCTGGATGTCTGCCTCTTCGGGTATGGCTAGGAGGCACTCATCCACTTAGCGTAGTGGAGACAAAGCATTTAAAGGAATACCAGAGGTTCCAGCTGAAAGCCTGTAATTGCTGTAATTTCCCATCGGCACTCCTATTCTCCTGTGTGTCTCGGTGTTATTTATGGTCGTGTTAAACCAAGGAAAATAAAACTCACTGCCATCTTGTCCACTGTGACTCAGAGCGAGCCTACGGGACAGGGTAGAACTGCCCCTGTGAGTTTCTGAGACTGGGACTCTTTATGGGAGTAGAAAACCTCATTTTTCCGCCAAAGAATGGCTGGTGGTTTCAAACCGCTGAGCTTGAGATTAGCAGTTCCACGCATTACCCACTATGCCAGCAGGACGCCTATAGTACTTTTGGCATGCAGAAGTTAGAAATTGTAAAACTTTATACAAATGAGCTTGTCCCTCTGGCTCTGGATCATCATTTACAAAACTTTAGCCACCCCAAGATGTAAAGGACTCACTAACACCTTTGCTTTGTGTAGCATTTATGTAAACTACTGAATGAATCTAGAAATTAGTCTGGGGTTTTGGACATTGGAGACAGGGCATGGTGCCCCAACAGGCTAGACTGGAAAACACAAGTTTTTCTTGCTTGGTATATTTTAATTTGTTCTTCGTCAGT